TTTTTTGTCAAAGGAATAAGTCCTCCTGTCAGCGGAGGATGGGATACTTCAACCTGGGGGTTGAAATCAAACACGGAACCTCAGAGTCCACCAATAGCCTCTCCTAAGGCCATTACAAAGCCAGTTCGGAGGACTGTGGTAGATGAATCTGAAAATTTCTTCAGTGCCTTTCTCTCTCCAACGGATGTCCAGACCATTCAGAAGAGTCCAGTGGTATCAAAACCTCCAGCTAAATCACAACGGCCAGAAGAAGAAGTAAAAAGCACCTTACAGGAATCCTTGCACACTGGAAAGTCAAGAACTACTGAAACAACTGAATCAAAAGTAAAAGACTCTTCTCTGTGTGTATCAGGGGAAACTCTGGCAGCAGATACTCCATCACCTAAAACTGAAGGCAAACATGAAGAATCTGTTAATAAAGAATCTGATATGAAGGTGCCAACTGTACATTTGAAAGTATCTGAAAGTGTAGTTAGTGTAAAAACAGCTACAGAAAGTGTATCTAATGTGTCTACACAGTCTGTTACAGCAGAAACAAAGGACATGGCTTCAGAAGCTAAGGAACAAAAACATGAAGACAGACAGAGCAATACACCTTCTCCTCCTGTTAGTACCTTCTCATCAGGTACTTCTACCACCAGTGATATTGAAGTTTTAGATCATGAAAGTGTAATAAGTGAGAGCTCAGCAAGTTCAAGACAAGAGACTACAGATTCAAAATCAAGTCTTCACTTGATGCAGACATCTTTTCAGCTTCTCTCTGCATCTGCTTGTCCTGAATATAATCGTTTAGATGATTTTCAAAAACTCACTGAGAGTTGCTGCTCCTCTGATGCTTTTGAAAGAATAGACTCATTTAGTGTACAGTCATTAGATAGCCGGAGTGTAAGCGAAATAAATTCGGATGATGAATTGTCAGGCAAGGGATATGCTTTAGTGCCTATTATAGTTAATCCTTCAACTCCAAAGGCTAAGGTAGTTGAATCTGTTGAAGGAAAATCTGAAGAAGTAGTAAATGAAACATTAATTATACCCACTGAGGAAGCAGAAATGGAAGAAAGTGGACGAAGTGCAACTCCTGTTAACTGTGAACAGCCTGATATCTTGGTTTCTCCTATACCAATAAATGAAGGACAGACTGTCTTAGACAGGGTGGCCAAGCAGTGTGAAGCTGCTGAAAGTCAGCCAGAAGCACTTTCTGAGAAGGAAGACGTTTGCAAGGTAACTCTATAGAATGGAAAGGATTTTTTTAGATGTGCTTTTTAGAGAGTAAATCATTTGTTTTAAAAATATTTCCGTTGATGCATAATAATCAGTATTGGTTTAAAAAAATAGCATTTTGACATTTTGGTATAGCATTAAGGACCTTAAAATTGAAAAATTATTGATATTATTTGAAATTTCCCCCAAGGCAGTTATGGTAGAATAAATTGCTATTTCAATATAGCTAAGCACAAAAGTTTCCATGTTACATCTTTATTGCTGAGTCTTTATCACCTTAAAATTCTCTTATGCTATGCTTACTAGTATGTCAGTTTGCAAAGGACTGTTTTCTTATGTTAACATGTATCCTCAACTCTTTTGCAGATAGATGTGCTAAAACAAACCTAAATGTTATGGTTTTTCTTATATCAGAATTTTTTTTGCATATTTACATTATTTGTAGCAAACCTTAAGTGAGAATTTAGTTTTTATGTTAGATATTCATGCTTTTATTAAATTTTAATATTTTCATTGATATTATAAGGAGTATATGTCTTCATATTGCTTCAGTTTGTTTTCTCTTTGTGTTATTTTGATATCTCCTGTTGATAGCTATATCTCATATGAATAAGAAAAGGAAATATCCAAGGAACAAGGGCATTGCTTAGGAATGGCAAATTGCTTCTACCTAATACATATAAAAGGGAAATGATGTAAATTCTTTAACTGACATTAAGTCACAGTTTTGGTTTTTCCTGTGATTTTTAGATATAGAAATTGAGTTGGATCTGGCATGTTTAATAGACTCCTGAGATATAGGATGTCTTGAAGAAATGTCCTGTAAGTGCCATGTACTGAATTATTTAATATAAAAAAGTACCAGATTCTGTTACCTAGTTTTAATATTATTCACGAACAAAATGCCATTCAATATTATTCCAATTAGTAATAGCTATATACTATAAAATATATGATAGGAATTTGAATTCCTAGAAACCAACACTAACTACTATCAATGAGGTATTTTTTAAGGTTTTTCAACATACTTAAGGTAAGTGATTTCCAAATTAATCTAGACCTAACTAGGGTTAGACTTTTGTATTTTGAGTCCAAAAGACACCCTTTTTCCCTGTTATATATAGGTTTATCACTACTTCAGCAGGACCTAAGGAATAAGATATTCTATGCATTAATTTTTGTTTAGCTTTATACTGATATATTCTGGAGATTTTAAAATTACATGCCTATGAGTTTTCTAAAACTGTGTTTATTTTTGAAATGCAATGTATCATACTAAAAAAAATAATTACATGTTTGGGTTAAAGAATAATAAGGAAAACAGACCCTTGTATATCCACTACCCAGCTAATATATAGAATATTACCAGAGGCTTTGAAGCCCCTTTTTGACTTTTTTTGATTGCATCTATCTCCTTTCCTCTTTTGGTGAATATACAGACTGTTCCGTATTTTTGCTGTTAACAAACAAGCTACTCTAAATGTTCTTGTACGTTTCACCTAGTACTCTTACATGAGAGTTTTCTGCTTTAAGGTACACCCCAAAGTGGAATATTCTACATCAGAGGTATGCAGATCTCCAGCTAGATATTGCCTAATTATTTTCCAAAGTGGTTTATTAACTTACGTTCCCACCAGCTACGTGGTGTTCTAATTTACATTCTCC